GGAATATCCTAAAAGTATTTTTCTGGTAATAAGAACCACAAAGGCTTTCTTCTGGAATATTTTAGGAATTTTCGAATTTTTTCGATTTTCCCGCGGTAGTTGACATTTAGGGACATCCGCTCTTAATGACTTTTATCAGCTGACTGGGAGCCAACGATAAACTGGTCTTCAATAATTCTGTCGCATTCCAAGATCCGCTTTCCATTTGGATCCGTTCCTGTTTCCTACGATTAGCATGGTTGATTAATGTTTAACCACACGTGCCCTGCACGTGCCAATCAAACTAATAATTAGTGCTGTAGCTAGAAGACGTAAATTATCGTAAGAATTTGTAGAAAACAATTATATTTTCCAATTAATTTCGTTCTGGATTCATTTTATAAATTTWAAAAATTTTTTGGCAAATTTTTCTGGCTTTAGAGAGAGTTTAAATACGCTATGACGTCATTCAACCAGAATAAACCGGTTTCATTAGTGCGCAAACAAAACAAGCTTGTTTAGGTTCTTTAGTCGGTATTCTACAAAATATACGGAAAATCACACCTATTCTTCGAAATATCAACCCAGGTAAGCCATCAAACATATATCTATTCTATTTTCTCGATTTATGGTCTGTTTTCAGCTGTTTTCTGTGTGTATTTGGCGCATTTTTAAGTCATAAAAGCTTACACTTCGGCTCTACGAATTTTAAGCTCATTTGTGTTTCTAAGATTACTTGTTTTTAATGTATTTTTTGCTGATTGCTTTCCTGTTATATTCCTTAATATATTTTTACAGATATATGTTTTTATAATTCCCTACAACAGATGATTTTCTTTTATTATGCGAAGTATACAAAAAGAAATTTAAAAACCACGTTTGAAAAGTTCGACTCGCTTTATTTTTTTTACTTGTCGAAATGAGTGAACGATAAAATGTAATATTCTAAATTGTGATATTTAAGCTTAATGGACTCTTTTGAAAGCAATTAACTGCGATTCCCACTCACACGCAACCAACCAAAAAACCTAAATGACAAACGCAAAATTGTGTTTTGGTAGACGTCAATCAAAAGACTTTCGTGACATTTTTGAGAAAATATATCCAGAGTGAAAAACTCACAGTGACAAGAAGCATGAGATATGAGAGCAACGATTTTTGCACGTGTTCACATGAGTATTCATGCCAGTCCTGGTGTAGAAACCAATAGAAACGATAGAAACCCTTTTAATATTTACATTGACATTCGTTGACGTTCATGAATAGGCCCTTTGCAGCTAGTGGTCACGTGCTTGGATACCGCTTAGCAACACAAAAC